ATGGATGTGGAAACACCAGATAAGAAAAAAGATATATATCAAGTCTTTAATGATCTTCTTGCAAGATCAGGTGCCTGATGGTCAGGAAACCCCAGAATAGTTATAATCATCATTTTGTATCCTGAGTACCTTGTGGTACACAGTCTTCCAGAATGTTGTCTAGGTCATACTGTCTCACACTGGCTTACTTAAAGAAATATATTTTTAATTGTTTCCACCTCCCTTTTTTCTCTTGTGTCAGGAAAGCCTTGGGGTGAATGCATTTTGATGAATAAGGAGATCTTACTTCTTTACCTGAGTTACTATTTTTTAACAGGGAGATTGATATCTGTTTTGGTTATGCCAACCCCTTTCCCCCCTCCTGTTTGTCAAGGGGATATTTAGGTGCATAGACTTTTTGGATCTGCCACATCCATAGGCTGTGGTGCAATTGTATGAATTAACTGCTTGTAATTTTCCATTCTGATCTATTTTCCCTCTGACTGCCTTTCTTATATCCTAATTTTACATTTTAGGTGAAATACTGTATTCTGAAAAAAGGAACACCAGACTTTCTACTTCTCACACATAATATTTCTACACACCTTGTGACAACATTGATCTTTGACAACGATATTTTTAAATGTAAAATAATATTGGGGCTGGGGTTTTGGCTCAGCAGGAGAGTGCTCGTGTAGCACATGCGGGGCCCTGGTTCGATCCTCAGAACCACATAAAAATAAATAAAATAAAGACATTAAAAAATTAAATAATGTAAATTTACTTACAGATGTACTTGCTCTTTATTTAATTATGGATTTTTCTTGTTAACATGTTAAAGGAAAAACTGAAAAGAAATATAAACTTGTGCTGTTAAAAGAGGATTATTAAATGTTTAGTATTGTTTAGTATATTCACAGGAGAGCAAGGAGCTGAAGATCTAAGCCTCAGTTCTTGTGTTCCAATGAAGAAAAACTTAAAATCAGACACGTAAAAGAGAATTTTATTTAAGTGAAGGTACATTGTACTATACTACAGAGCAATAGTAACAAAAACAGCATGGTACTGGTACCAAAACAGGCAGGTGGACCAATGGTACAGAATAGAGGACACAGAAACCAATCCACAAAACTACAACTATCTTATATTTGATAAAGGGGCTAAAAGCATGCAATGGAGGAAGGATAGCATCTTCAACAAATGGTGCTGGGAAAACTGGAAATCCATATGCAACAAAATGAAACTGAATCCCTTTCTCTCGCCATGCACAAAAGTGAATTCAAAATGGATCAAGGAGCTTGATATCAAATCAGAGACACGCCGTCTGATAGAAGAAAAAGTTGGCTACGATCTACATACTGTGGGGTCTGGCTCCAAATTCCTCAATAGGACACCCATAGCACAAAAGTTAATAACTAGAATCAACAAATGGGACTTACTCAAACTAAAAAGTTTTTTCTCAGCTAAAGAAACAATAAGAGAGGTAAATAGAGAGCCTACATCCTGGGAACAAATCTTTACTCCTCACACTTCAGACAGAGCCCTAATATCCAGAGTATACAAAGAACTCCAAAAATTAGACAATAAGAGAACAAACAACCCAATCAACAAATGGGCCAAGGACCTGAACAGACACTTCTCAGAGGAGGACATACAATCAATCAACAAGTACATGAAAAAATGCTCACCATCTCTAGCAGTCAGAGAAATGCAAATCAAAACCACCCTAAGATACCATCTCACTCCAGTAAGATTGGCAGCCATCATGAAGTCAAACAACAACAAGTGCTGGCGAGGATGTGGGGAAAAGGGTACACTTGTACATTGCTGGTGGGACTGCAAATTGGTGCAGCCAATTTGGAAAGCAGTATGGAGATTTCTTGGAAAGCTGGGAATGGAGCCACCATTTGACCCAGCTATTCCCCTTCTTGGTCTATTCCCTAAAGACCTAAAAAGAGCATGCTACAGGGACACTGCTACATCGATGTTCATAGCAGCTCAATTCACAATAGCAAGACTTTGGAACCAACCCAGATGCCCTTCAATAGACGAATGGATTAAAAAATTGTGGCATTTATACACAATGGAGTATTACTCTGCATTAAAAAATGACAAAATCATAGAATTTGCAGGGAAATGGATGGCACTAGAGCAGATTATGCTAAGTGAAGCTAGCCAATCCCTAAAAAGCAAATGCCAAATGTCTCCTTTGATATAAGGAGAGTAACTAAGAACAGAGTAGGGACGAAGAGCATGAGAAGAAGATTAACATTAAACAGAGATGAGAGGTGGGAGGGAAAGGGAGAGAAAAGGGAAATTGCATGGAAATGGAAGGAGACCCTCAGGGTTATACAAAAGAACATACAAGAGGGAATGAGGGGAAAGGGAAAAATAATACAAGGGGGAGAAATGAAGGTCAATTGGGGGGGTAGAGAGAGAAGAAGGGTGGGGAGGGGAGGGGAGGGAGGAGGGGGGATAGTAGAGGATAGGAAAGGCAGCAGAACACAACAGACACTAGTATGGCAATATGTAAATCAATGGATGTGTAATTGATGTGATTCTGCAATCTGTATATGGGCTAAAAATGGGAGTTCATAACTCACTTGAAGCAAAGTGTGAAAGATGATATATCAAGAACTATGTAATGTTTTGAACAACCAACAATAAAAAAAAAAAAAAAAAGAATACATGGGGCTGTGGTTGTGGTTCAGTGGTAAAGTTCTCACCTAGCAAGTGCAAGGTGCTGGGTTCGATCCTCAGCATCACCTAAAAATAAATAAATAAATAAAATAAAGTTATTCTGTCCAACTATATCATGTGTGTGTGTGTGTGTGTGTGTGTGTGTGTGTATATATATATATATATAAACCAGTTGGCATGGGTCAAGGTGTTCTAGAGTTTCCATGGCATTGAGGACTTGAAAGTCTGATGGCCACTGAGAACCTGAAAGTCTGATGTCACCCTGCTGTCAGTCAAAAATCAAGAGGTGGACATGAGCAGGACTCTCTAGATTATTGGGGATCACCCCAAAAATAGAGTGCAGGAGGCATATTGTGCCTCACCTCTTTTATGGACCCACTGTCTCCCTTGAGACTGCCCCCTTTCCCTTCTCCTATTCTTTCAATGAATTCATGCTTATTATTCTGAGCAACATGTTTGAAATCTTTCTGAATTGGTTGCAAGAAACAGTGTTTGATCAGGAGGTCTTTGCACTACCTGAGTTTCTCAGAAGGCTCCAGTGCTGTAACTGCTTCATCTACAAATTAATTCTATGTTATTGTGGGTACTGGGGTGAGTGAGTGTTCAGAAGTTACCTTACAGAACCCGCACCACTTAAGAATCCCTTCTTCTGAGACAGAAGCATACATATGGTGCTGTAACATATGGTTTTACTATTTTAAAACATTTTTTAAAATTATTTTTTAGTTGTGATACCTAGTTTTATCTTGACCTTTATGGGCCCCATCAGGAGTAAGTCCTACAAATCCTTCTTTTTTGATGTTTTTTTTTTTCCCCAGATTATCTCCTTTTATTTTTGTTTACCTTCAAGGTTTGCGTAAGGATGTTTTCATCTTCCTTGGAAGTAACTTAAAACTTTGAGTAACTTAAAGTAAACCTTAGACTTTGGTATGCATTCCAGTGCCCATTACTACTACCTGACAGTACCATAATGAATGTACTATTTTCTTCTTTAAATTGCTTTATTGAGGTGTATTTGCACAGCAGACAGCCTTGGAAGATGGAATGCCCTTCAAGGAAGAAAGTAAATTTGTTTTCTGACCAAATTAATTGAACATCTCCTTCAGACCAAAGGTGGGACACACTTGCTGGCTGTTCCTTGAAAGAGTGGGGCTACCCACTGTGTGTGCAGCAGCCACCTGGTCTGCTACACATCTCCCCCTTGGGATTTTGGGGAGCAAGGAGAACCTACATCAGTAAAACTCATGCCGCCTGTTGTGCCAGGACTAATAAAGTCCTTTTTTTCTAACACAAGACTCCCTGTCATTCTTCTAACCTCCACCTACAAGTTAACTTGTAATCTTGAAAGCTGGGTAAAATCTCAAGACTGTACATGGTACTTGTGAGAAGACAGTGGAATGAATCTGAAATACATTTTTATGTACATATATGAATAAACTACAGTGAATCTCTACATCATATACAACCACAAGGCTGGGATCCTAATTAGAATAAAATATACTTCATGTTTGTATAAATATGTCAAAAAGTACTCTATGGTTGTGTATAACAAAAAAGAGCAAATAAAAAAAATATTAAACAAATTAAAAAAAAAGACAAAGCCCAGTAAGTAAGTCAAGAGAAGCCATGTTCAACCAAGATGATAGGGAAAGGTGAAGCCCGATAAAGGGTGGGGATACAAGCCATGAGAGGTGTAGAAATATGGAATCAATATATTGTATTTAGAGCCATTCCTAATCCATCATCTTTGTTTCAGTTGAACATGGACCTCCAAATAAAGAATATGGATTAATATTAATCTTGATGATCAAAATCAAAACACCTGAAGGCATAAATTCTTCAGAATCAAATGGATGCTTAACTAGCTTCACTCAGTGTTTCCTAGTTGTTAGTTCTATAAGACTCCATAGTTTTCCCACTGGTAGGTGGAGGTGGAATGCTCTCTCATTCCAAAACCACAACCCTCTTCATCCCCCCCCCCAATCCTAAGCCAATAAATGTCTTTGGTCAAAACTGAGTTAAAACAGGTCTTATATTCTTTCTTGCATCTCCACTTTCCTACTCCCCAGACATCTTCCACCAACTTAGCACTTTCCCCTCTCCCCTCCTCCTCCCCATCCTTCTTCCATATTCCTTTCCTCCCTGCTCCTCCTCTCTCTAACCCTGCCCCTCCCCTTCCTTTGTGCCCAGACTTGAAAATTGTACAGAAGGATGGAGCCAGAGGGAAGACCTCACTCCATAGAAAGTAATCAAAAGACCACTAATTAATTGAATTGCCAATTTTGGATTTATTACTTTGGCATTGGCATTATATTTGTAATTCACATGGCATATTTTTCAGTCCACTCTTGAGCGACTCTGTCATACTTTTTCCTGTCCTTTAGATAGATCTTAGCAATTTCAGGAACCAAAGGATCATCCGGATTAGGGTCACACAACATAGAGCAGATAGACAACAGCACTTTAGAGATTGTCAGCGCTGGTGACCACTCAAATCTAAGGATGTCTAGACTAATGTTTCCGCTTCTGTTGATATTAGGGTGGTAAATTCGGGTGATGAACGTGATCCTGGGTGGTTTGAAGGGATAATCAGATGGAAACTGTATGGACAGAAAAAAGACCCCTCCCTGGTAGGGACTGTCATTGGGCCCCATGATGGCAGCTTGCCAATGGAACATGTCATCTCCCACTGGTCCTGCTGAACACTGGGCAGGGGGGTCACGAGCCAGGTCAAGGAGCTCCTTGTGAATGCGCTTCAGAGCCATCGTGGGGAAGTCACTGCTTGGCACTGGTGCTGGCACCTGGTGGAGGGCTTCCAAGATCTCGACCTTGGGGTGCGAATAGCAGCGGGCGGATGGCAGGACTGTAGGTGCTGGGGCTGGTCCAGGGATCTGAGCCACGCGGATCAGGAGCCTAGAGTGGGGCTAAGACAGGAGAGGGAAAGGGGTGCTCCCCTGCACCTGAGGCTCTGCAGAACACCTGTGGTTCACAGCCCTTGTGGACATGCTTTTTGGAGCTGAATCTTCCTCTGCAGGGAGGCCAGGATGCCTTAAGACACCACTTCCCTGAGTAGCCCACACTCCTGTTCAGGGCGGCCTCCTGCTTGCCTCTGGCTCCTGAAGCCCACAGGGGTGCCCTGGCAACAGGAGGGGATCCGCTCTGTGAGATCACAGAGGCAGCCCTGATGGAGCTGTGCAGTGTTGCCCAGTGTGATTCCGGAGGGGCAGGGTCAGGAGCAGGGAGGGAGCGGGGTCTGAGGTGTTTGAAGGGAAGGTGGGGGCTGCTGCCGGGCTCACCCAGGCTCTGCTCTATTGCTTGATCTCCAGGATGGCTAGATGGGCCACAGCACGCTTCCTTCCACTCAGTTTCCAGAATGGGTACAATCAATTCAATGCATGTGCCCTTCCTCTCACTTGGCTCACCTGCCTTGAACACAGTTGCTACTGCTTTGGCTTGATCTTCATCTCTATTCTCTCTGCCTGCCTCTAAGAGTAAGCTACACATGCTAAGGACTGTACTTCCATGTGTATTTCTTAACACAGATGGTCTCTTGTACACACAACTTTAGCAGTTATAAGTTTGAGATAATATATTTTACAGTAACTTTGATAATGTTTTGGTAAATATATTTTATGAAAATTTAAAGCCTTCAAAATTTCAATTTGGAATTGAAGTCAATTTAATCTTTAAAGAAATATTGACAGGACATGGTATGAGGGAGGAAGAAAGGAAAAGAAAACATTACTTTATCTGGCATATAAAAGCAGTGAATTTAACACTGATATAGTGGTTACATCTAATATAATACTGTATCTATAGTCTGTTAGCTCAGTACAATTTCCCACTACCTTCCAAAATTTATATGTATACCATGTACAAACACATTCTTCATGTTCTACCATCTCCTTAATTCCTAATTACAGCATTAACTCTAATTCCAAAATCTTATCTTAAAATCAACTAAAAAATTCAAACCTTATTATTTTAATTATATAAATAAGGTATGAGAGAGACTCTTGAGTGTCATTTACATTGTGGCAAAATTTATCTCCATTTGTGAAACTAGGAAACAAATCTGCTTGTATACTACAATGCTATTGGCATAGGATAGACATATTCACTATGAAAGGGTGAAAATGAAAGACATAAAGGATTCTTTGTTCTCAAGCAAATGTGACACCCAGCAGGGAACATTCCATTTGTTTTCATGGTCCTTAAAATAATACTCTATTGCTCAACACCATTCTCTGGGCCCAAGAAGGCCTTACCAAACTCTACTTCTTTTCCTGCTCATCTGGTTTTGTCCTTAAGATCATTATTCCTTTTTCTTAAAAGATGCACATGTTTTTTTCCTGAGTAATTCTGCCTATCAAATCCCTGAAGTCTGATGGCCTTGTTTCATTTTGTCCTAATTCTGTCCCCTTCAGTTCAAGCTTGCAGTGTTTTTTTCTAAGACAACATTCTGGAAAATTGTGGTCAAGAAGATCAATACTATTACACAATAAACTTCTGCATAGATGCAACCTGGATTAGCCCATCTGTATTCTTGGCTTGTACTGACATGGTTAATTGCATCCATGAGTTCCATGCCCAATCTCTTCAGTGAAAGATTGTGCAGCTGTATGCAGATGCTACTCAATATATGATTGGGTTATATATTCATAAACCCATAGCAACTTGAAAACATCATAAGTTGAAAATGCATTTAATACACCTTACCTATAAAAAATGTCATTGATTTGCAACATAGTATACTGCAGAGTATTGGTTATTTACCCAATTTAGTCATATGGCTGAATAAAGCAAGGGTTGTTGCCACTGCTCAGCATTTCACTAGTACCATGCCACATATTGTTAGCTCAAGAAAATAATAAACTTCTAAATTTGTTGTACAATTTCTGCCTTCTGAATGTTTGTCACTTTTTCGCAATCACAAAGTCAAAAACTAGTAAGCTGAATCATAAATTAGAAACTATCTGTACTTTGCCCTATTTCCAGAGCATCTGTACAAGCTGAGTATTTTTAAAAATCATTATTTTATCAGTTTTTTTTTCTTATTATTTAACAGTTCTATCCCCAATTTATTTTTCACTCTCACATTTTGCTATAAGTAGGATGTATAAATCAGGCTGCTTATTGTATACAATACTTGGAAATTTCACCTAAATGTATAAATTAATCTTTTATAATTTATCCTTTAGCACAATAGGTGAATACAAGCTAAGGGTTCTGCCATTTTGAAGCAAAGATTATCTTTCTGCTGATGTCCAAAATCATTCTCCCCATTTAGTTCTGATATATCACCAAAAGAGTCTTTAACATCATATTTCTACCATAATTCATTTCATGGTGATATATGTTTTTTTTTTTTTTTAATTTTTTGTACTGGGGATTGAATTCAGGGGCATTTAACAGTGAGCCACATCCCCAGCCCTGTTTTGTATTTTATTTAGAGACAGGGTCTCACTGAGTTGCTTAGTGCCTTGACTTTGCTGAGGCTGGCTTTGAACTCATGATCCTCCTTCCTTATCCTCCCGAGCCACTGGGATTACAAGCATGAGCCACCCCATGCCTGGCTGTATCTTATTTTTCATTTCCTTCTATGCCTTCACTGTAATGACCTATAGTGTATGTGTGTGTGTGTGTGTGTTTGTGTTTGTTTGTGTGTGTGTGTGTGTGTGTGTGTGTATATATATATATATATATATATATATATATATGTATATATATATATATATATATATATATATATATATATATATATATATCCAGTAATACTTTTAATACAATTTAGAGTTTATTTTTTGCATTAAGATTCTTAATATACCATTATATCATATCTCTGATTATATATAAGGTATGTTGACACCAAATTCACATCTTCATACATGTATTTTGTATAATGATGAGGGTCTCCTTTTACCATCCATACAATTCCCCTTCTCCCTCCCTTTACCTCCCACCCCTATTCCCTATCTAGAGGTAATCTTCCTCCCTTGCTCTCCCTCCCAACTCCATTTTGAGTCACCCCCCTTATATCAGAGAAGACATTTGGCATTTGCTTTTTTTGGGATTGGCTAACTTCACTTAGCATAATCTTCTCTAATGACATCCATTTCCCTGCAAATTCCAAGATCTTATTCTTTTTTATTGCTGAGTAATATTCCATTGTGTATAAAGGTCACTTTTTTAAATCCATTCATCCTGTTTTGGTGCCAGTACCATGCTGTTTTTGTTACTATTGCTCTGTAGTATAGTTTAAGGTCTGGTATAGCGATACCACCTGTTTCACTCTTCCTGCTTAGAATTGCTTTAGCTATTCTGGGTCTCTTATTTTTTCCAGATGAATTTCACATGCCCTCTAAAATTCACCCAACCTCAACCTATTACTCAATTGGAAAGTCAATTTCAGAATTTGAGGCATGATTTACAACAGGACCTTTATTCCCTATTACAAATAACAATGCTACAATACTACTCACCCTATATGATCAATTATATGTGTCAATGTGACTGAGTAAAGAGGTGGGCAGACACTGAGTAAAATTTAGTGTCTTTGAGGGTATATCTGGATGAGATTTAAAGTTATACCAAAAAAATGAGTTAATAGATTGTCCTCCCTAATGTGGGTGGGCATAATACCATCAATTGATTACCTGAATAAGACAAAAAGGCTAATACTTCTCTGAGTGTGTGTTTATGTATGTGTCTACTACTATTGTATTGTGTTTTTTACCCTTTGGAGAACTCTAATACAGATTTTGGTATCAAGAGTGGTTCTAGAGGAACATGATTTTAGACATGAGTATCATGAGATGATTCTGGGGTTTCTAGACTTGGCTTTCTAGTCAAAGTACACTCTCCTATAAGCAAAGTGAAGGTGAGAAAGAGTGGACAGACCCTACAAAAGAGGAATTGGCCCTGTGTTTCTTTGATCCCTATAATTGGGTTTTAAACACCCAGAGTAACTGTATTCAACCTACTAGTTACCTGTCCTAATTATGTAACTATTTTGGCAATACACATGCTTATTACCCATAATAGCCCAAGTAAAGCCCATGGAAGAAGCAAAGCTCAATTTCAATGAGATGTAAATGACATTATAATAAGGAAAAGGCAATTGTCAGTCACCTAGACTGGTCAGAACTAGTCATATTTTTACTGACTGGAAGGGAACTCTTACTGCATTCATCCATCTTTTCTCCTGAGTCTAAAAGTCTGGATTCTCCCTTTGAGGCTATTTATCTCCCATGTCTTTTTTTAAGAGAGAGAGAGAGAGAGAGAGAGAGAGAGAATTTTTAAATATTTATTTATTTATTTTTTGTTTTCAGCGGACACAACATCTTTGTTTGTATGTGGTGCTGAGGATCGAACCCAGGCCGCATGCATGCCAGGCGAGCGTGCTACTGCTTGAGCCACATCCCCAGCCCCTCTCCCATGTTTTAAAGACCATTTGTTCCATGCAGTATAGGAACTTAGTTATCAACTCAAGTGTAGCATTTACCATAGCCCTTCCTTGTCAATACTTACTATTCCATGTCCATAGCTAACTGCTGCTTAACACTTCAGAATATATGTTTTTCATTACTGGAGATGAAACCCAGGGGTGCTCTATCTCTGAATTATGTCCCTAGCCCTTCTTATTTTGTTTTGTGGTAGGGTTTTGCTAAATTGCCCAAGCTGACATTGGACTCTTCCCCTGCCTCAGCCTTCTAAATACCTGAGATTATAGGTGTCTGCCACCACATCCAGATACTTTAGAATA